ACGGGCTTCCTCGGGGACAAAGTGTCTTGCGCCATTCTCACCGGAATATGTCACCATTGAGGGTTTGTGCGTTTGACCAATTGTGAAGTGAGTTTTAAAGTAAAGCGCCAGCCAGCTATAAACGAAGTGGACGGGAAATGTCGATCGAGATGGACTTTTGCAGCTTGTAAGCTCGTTCAGCCCTTTGTAGATGTTCGTTAAGACCGGAACTGCGAGGCCGACTATACAACCCTTGGCCATCATACTTGCCATCTTGAAGGTGCCTGGGCGAATTATGTCAACGTCGCCATTGGGGAGGACGAAGGTGCATATCCAGCATGAAAGATACGCCGCCAAGTGAATTTCTTCTTGCAGCTTCAACTCAATCACAGCCATCTTCTTGAACAATTGATCTTCGGCGGAGGTCCAGCGACGATGTTCTTCAAAAGTGCCGGGCGGATTATGAGTTAGCTTGAGGCGAATGATCCTCTTCTTCTCCCCGTTCCTCTTGTCAGCACGATTGGGAGGTTGTCTGTATTTGATAGCCTTCTTCGACCAAAAATGCACCCATCGATCAATTGACACTTGTCCACCATCGGATTCTTTGCACAGTAGATGATAGGCGTGGAAGAGGTATCGGCAGCAACGAGGAAGGCATAAATTATTATCTTTGTTGGTCCCTACCAGCTCGTTTGCATCCGGCACCACCTCGTCGAAGATGAACCCACTCAATGGAAGTCCTGCCAATGTGTGAAGATCCCATAGTGAAACTGAAAGCTCCCCGGATGATGTTAAAAGTGTGTTGGTAGAAGGACACCATGCCTCGCAAAATGCCTTGATGATCTCGGGGTTGCAGTCGTATGTGAAAAGCGAGGCGTAAACAGCATCATAAATCTCTGCCTTGATCAAATTGCTTCTGCATCGGCTAAGTATGTCTTCAGTCCACTCCCAGTACCCTCGTGTATAGTGGAATTCACCAGCAAAATTAATGGTTTCCCCCCATGCTGCTTCGCCTCGTGTGATAAGTCGTCCTAAAGTCGGCAATGGCGACGGCTCTGTCTCGTTCTGCGGGTTGTGGTGAGTCGCTTGTAAGATCCATGCTTTTGACTTCTTGTAGGCACACTCTTGAGTCCACTCGGTCACGGTGTCTGTAACTTTTGGCCACGTCTTCGAAAAGTCACCGGTGATTGGTTCTTCAACTGCAAAGCGGGTCCCTTTCTCTAGCGGT